AAACAAAACCAAACAAAACCTCTCTATTTACTGAGGAAAGGAGTGATGTCCAATCAGGAGTAGAACCTTTACCATGCCAAGCCCTGGAAAGTCCATCTCTAATTACAAAGAGCCCTGGTGGTACAATGGTTAAGCACTTGGCTGCAAACAGTGGAAAAAAGACATGTGATCTGCTCCCATAAATATTACATCCTAGAAAACTCTATTGGGCAAGTCCACTCTGTTACATGGGGTCACCATGAGTCAAAATCGACTCAATCGCACCTAACAACAACAATTGTCTTACAGGGGAGGGAGGGGAAGGAAGGAGGTCAATGGAATTTGGAAGCAGAAACTGTTCATTCATTTAAAAATTTATTCAACAAATATTTGCCAGGTCCTGTGCTAGGCACTGGTTGTCCAGTGGTGAATACAATACACAGGGTCCTTGTTTTCATGGAGTTCATAGTTTAGCAGGGACACAGAGAAGTCAAAAATCGGCAATCAAAATGAGACATTATACATGCTATAAAGGAAATGACCAGGTGTTGAAGTGGACATTAATAGAGTAACCAAAGAAGTCCTCTTTGAGAAGTTGACACCTGAACTGAAACCTAAAGGTTGAGAGGGAGCCAGCCATGTGGCAAACGGGGTGAGCATCGCAGACATAGGAAGTGCAGAACAGGGGAGAAGGTGGAGGAAACAAGGAGCTAGTTGTAGTTGAGGTACCAGAAAGCCAGCCAGCCGAGCAAGAGCTGGGGGAACAAGGAGAGAGTGACCTGCTGTGGAAACAAAGGATCCAGCAGCTATGGTAAGGAATTTTTCGATCTTACCAACAAAGTTAAACTTTTCTTTTTGTTGCTGGTGTTAACTGCCATCAAGTCAGCCCCTAACTCACAGTGACCCTGTGGATGAGATGCTGGGATCCACAGGTTTTCGTTGGCTGATCATCAGAAGTAGACCACCACACCTTTGTTTCTTATCTGTCTTAGTCTGGAAGCTTCACTGAAACCTGTTCAGCATCACAGCTACACGTAAGCCTCCACTGACAGGTGGTGGCTGCTCATGAAGCGCCTTGCCCAGGAATCGAACCCAGGTCTTCTGCACAGAAGGCAAGAATGCTACCACTGAACTACCAGCGTTACACTTCTTCAGGAGAACAGAATATTGACCTCTACAATCCTGATTAAGGAATTTAGTACTTGGGATGTAGCAAGTGCTTAACAAACATGAGCCATTACGTGTATATATCTCTCCCAGCAAAACTAGCAAATCCTGGTCATGAGAGTGCAGAGGAATAAACCCTGAGCATTAAAAAGATATGTATTTACCTGACGATCAAAATTTTTTTTTTATCAACTTTTCCATACAACCAGGCAATTCCCCTACGAAAAGGAAAATGTGTTTTCATTGATCCACTGATAGATATTCAATACTTTCTTTGTTTTAAAACAATCAAAGGACAGCATGGAGGACTATATATCTGTACCCTAATTTAAAAAATCATTTTCATTTGCTCACATAAACCAGTGCAACTTTTTACCACAGGTGGCCATTTCAGAAATGAAAGTTGCAGCTAATCAAACACTTAGCCACATGCCTTAGTGATTTTAATGACATGATTTGTTGCTATGAGACAAAAACATGTTGTGCGAGAAATAATCTGTTAAAAATTATATGACCTTGATTCAAAGGCTTTTGATTAATAGCACTAACATCCGCTTTCGGGAAAAGAAACAAACCCTATGATTAGAGCTTGGTAGTCCTTTTAAAGCAAATAAAACATTATTAGCCACACATTAATGGCTATGGAACACATTCAAAGCTTCATTTGAGTTACTTTCAACCCCTATCTCGCAAAAGCTTTTCCTGACCACTGGCAAAGCTTCTCCTTTTTCACTTTGTCTCTCTCCTCTCAACCTTTCAGAAGGAGATGCTGATAAAAACCCACCAAAATGAACAGCAGATGAGAAGTAAACAGCCTAGAAGACCCAATTAGCCAGTAGATAGATCATGTTGGTCTAAATGACTTCTCTTTATCTATGTGTGTTCACTTGGCTTTCTGACTATTTAACCATTCCGTCATTAGATATTTATTGAGCATCTACTATGTGCCATCCCTGTGTTGGAGACATAGTAGCAAACAGACAAGGCCCTGCTTTCACAAAGTTATATTGTTATAGGGAGAGCAGTCAACAATAAGTTGACAAATCAGTAAGAATCACATGATAAGTGCTATGAGAAAAGTAAAATGAGACGGGATAAGTTAATTGGGTGATGGGGTGGACCTCTTTGAAGTGGTGATATTGAGCTGAGATCTGAATGACAAGAAGTTAGTTTGTAAAGATCTAGGGCAAAAACATTCTGGGCAGAAGAGATGGCAAGCTCAACATCTCTGATGTGGGGGCAAGTTGGGGTGTTGAAGACAAAGAAAATGGCCAGTGTAGCTGGGTGTAGCGAACTAGTGAGCATGTGGGAGGTGAGATCAAGAAGGGCAGGGGACCAAAACTATCCCCTAAAGTCTTTGAACCGAAAAATAGTTTATCTTAATAAGTAAAATATGTCTGCCTTAAACATTGTGCTCTTTTAAAGAATTATCTATTGAGATCAAGTAGACAACCACAACTCGAAAGTTTAGACAAGAAGCTTAGGGAGCAGTGGGTTTAAGTCAATGGTGGTAGAACAGTTTGGAGAAGGACAGCAAGAATGTGTGTGTAACTTGAAGAACATAATCAGTGTCGATGAGTTGTTCATGTAGAAATGGTTGAAATGACTGTGTATGTTTTCACCATAATTTGAAAAATAAAAAGAAGGCAAAGGCCTGATTGTGCAATCGTGCAATCATGCAGGGTGGGTTTTAAGTGCAGTGGGAAATGTCTGGAGAGCTGTATCTAGAGCTGGGGTTTGTGAATGTTGCACTCACGTAGAGCTCTTCTAAAAGCAGGTCTGGCCCCTGCCAGGTGACCTGATGGCAGCTGGGAAAAAGGAGCAAGTAGTGACCTGCTCTGTTGCCATGAAACAGCATTTGGCACTCTAGACCCCCTGGATATTAGCCTAAGAAGGCTGTGAAAGAAGAATCTATGTGTTATGAAAATCCCTGTGGCCCCGTTTCCTAGAGCTGCCTTAGAGCTGTACTCCATGAGCCAGGGGCTGGGATAGGCCCAGGCAGATCCTTTTCTCCTCTTCCTCTTTCTAATGTCCCTAATGTCCATCATAAACAGGCCTAAGTAACAGCAAAACAAGGTCCTGAGTCAGGGCCAGCAGACAGCCTGGGCTGGAAGGGCATGGTCACTCTTACAGGGGAGAAACATGACAGAAAAGACCCAGCTGGTGTCAGAGGTCAAAGCAGACACTACATTGACTCCAGGGACTCTGACCAGCCTTGAGAGACAGGGTTAGGCCATTTCTAGGACCACCCAGCTGTCTCCTGAGTCTCAACAGTGGGGACCTAGAGGCAGCCACACTAGTAAACATGCACATTACTTGTCTTCTCTTCTGTGCCCGAGGCCATCATTCATCCCTCTATTCCCCTGAAACCTTCACTGGCTCCTGCTTACCAAACTAAGAATAAAATTCTCACCCACCCCAATCAGGTTCCAACCTACCTTACCTGTTACTTGCTTGCAAATCTTCATTCTTTCAGCATACCTCTGCATGTATTCTACCTACACACAGACAGACTTGATTATTATGTTTATAATCAGGAAAAAAAAAAAATGTTTTTAAAGGTCAATATATTCTCGGGGAAAAGATTTTGGGGGTGAAAGCTCCTTCCTGTCCATATATCCATGCCACCTGTATCGCCCTAGTTCTTACCTGGGCAGAGGTGGCAGTGCTTGAATCACCAGGAGCTACTCATGGTTCCTTCCTTTGGAAGGAGAGCAGTTACCCACTGCACTCTTCCAGTTCCCTTGTAACGCAGGCCCACCCTGAAAAGGGATCTTCACCCTTATCTCTCAGATTTCCCAACACTTCAGCCCCTCCAGGCACAGGCAGCTCCCTCGAGGCCTTCTTCTCTCACCCTTACTGGGGTTCCTGCACCTCTCCTCTGGCCTTCAGTTCTCTTCTCTCACCTGCTCAGGCAGGCTGCCCCTCTTCACTTTAGACCCCAGCTGTTCCTGGGCCTGGCTGGAACCAGGTGCCTCCCAGGTTACACAGTCACATAAGTCACCACTAGCCTTGGCTTTACTCTGAGCTCTGCCCTCTTATAACTGATCCAGCCTCAAGTTCATATAGACTTTAGCAGGAGAGGACCAAGAAAGTTGGTGGGTGTTGCAACTGTTTCATTAGAGCTAGTTGGCTACCTCCAGATGGATGAGCCAAAGTTTCATTTATTTACTTCCTAAGAGGGAGTGATAATATGGGTATATATGTGTCCACTTAGAGTAGGAAATGAGAATGATAGGTTTATATTTAATTTCTCCTAGCCATGAGTTCTAGAAATTTGGAGAATTAGAAGAGGAATGGTGATTTGAGACAGGGTCTTCCTGGTTAGATCACCCTATGTATCTTATTAAATTAGGGGGCTATGTGAAGTTATACTTTGACTTTTCCAATTAGAATACCAATCTCATTATTTCATATGTGATCCTATTTGGTGGGGGAGAGAAAAACCAGAATCAGTTTAATGAAAACTACCAAGTAAATGGAGTCCCTGTGTGATGCAAATAGTTACTGCACTCAGATGTTAACTGACAGGTTAAAGGTTTGTGTCCACACAGAGGTGCCTCAGAAGACAGGTCTGGCAACCTACTTCTGAAAAAGTCAGCCATTGAAAACTCTACGGGGCACTGCTACTCTGAGGCAATGGGGTTGCTATGAGTCAGAGGACTCGACAGCAACTAGAACTGGAAAATCAAATAAATGATAGTACAGAAATATGGAAGACATCATGGAGGTGGTAACTGATATCTGGAATCTTCAGTTGGTAACAAGACAAAAATTTGCACTGAGCTTACTTCCCCTTTCACACAAAATAACCAGAGTTGATCTTCCATTTTCTCTGTTGTCTTGACCTGCAGATGGCCATGACTACCCTCGAGCCGCCTACCAGCAAGTGATCCAGCCAGTTCTTCCTGGGAAGCCCCTACCCGGAGGCCCTCACCCTGTGCAGAAGGTCATTCTGAATTATCCCAGCCCTCAAGACCAAGAAGAGAGACCAGCACAGCAACACTACTTCTCCCCAGGGCCCTCCAGGTATGGGTAAGTATGGCAGGGCCCACTTTCAGATCTTTTTAGATAGCTTTAACATGAAAAAGAATTATGCCTGTTCAACAAAGATGCATCAGAACTCTGTATAGGGTTGCTACTCAAGCTAGTGAACAAGTCAGTGGTGGAATGCCCAATATAGACTTTTCAGGTCAGGAGGAAATGGAGGCTGGTTGACAAGAATTTCTTTAGCAAGATATGGAAAGCCACTCTCTCTCTCTCTATGTATGTGTGTGTGTATATATGTGTGTATGTGTATATATATGTGTGTGTGTGTGTATGTATATATATACATATATATATATGTATATATATGTATGTATGTAGGAGCTCTGGTGGCATACTGCCTAAGGCATTTGACTGTTAACCAGGAGGCTGGCAGTTCAAACCCACCAGCTACTCCTTCGACCGAAGGTTGGGCAATCTACTTCCATAGTGATACTGCCTTGGAAACCCAAGGAGGGGTCACTATGAGTCGCATCCAACTCAATGGCAGTGAGTTTGTTTTTTATTTATATATATATATATGTTTATATAAATATGTATGTATGGATGTGTGTATATATATAATTTTTGACTAGTTTTAGTGACTAGTCAAAATTCCCTTGAAGGAAAAACTCTTATGATACTCTCTAAATTACACCTCCCTCTTTATACTTTTAGATCACTTGGCCTTTTAGCCCAATAAATAGATTTTTATTTTTACTATGACTGCCTTCCACTGTGAATAAATTCTTTATACCCTAGTTTCTATTGCTGTTTAAATTCATTTCTAACTTTAAAAAATTTAATTCAATTAATTCTCAATGGAAATGAAAAATAACCTACTCTTTTCTTTTGTAACAAAGACATTCAGACATGTTGAGCACCGTTACTAAGTCACCTTCCTATGTCTTCTTCCAGAAAAGCCATTCTGGTTTTTCATGACTTCAGTTCTCTAAGCCTTTCATATTTTTCTCCTCATTGTTCTCTTTTGATTCTTCTTCAAATTTTCCTTTTCTCTTAGTTTATGGATCTAAAACATATAGGAGAAACTTGTGTAAGAGTGCCTTCCTAATTTATGACAGAGTGGAAGAGAATACAGGTATCCCCCATGCAAAAAGGGCAAGGAGGCCACATGTTCTGACCTCCTCTAATCCCACAAGAGGAAGGTAGAATCACCATCAATAGCCCAAGGCCTATTACTGCAAGGCCAGACATGCTGCCTCCCTCTAGCCCTTTCTCCAACCGTTCCTCCCAAAGCACCCACCACCTCTCTCCTGGGTTTGATAATTCACTGCAGTGGCCACACAGAGCTCACAGATTATAGGGTTTATTAGGGAAGCACCACAGGCTACAATTCAAGTTCAGGAAAAATGCTCAGTCTATCTCCCAGCCCACCGTCCCTCAGCCAACAGTCTCTCACAGTCTCTTTCAGCAGTGCTGGTCCCTCCGTGTCTCACTCAGCAATGCGTGTCTCTTGCGTCTCTTTCCCAGCAACACATGTCTCAGGAGCCTGTGTCTCTTTCAGCAGCACGTCTTCCTCAACCTGCTGCAGTCAGAGAGAGTTCTGCCTCTAGGAGGCCTCCTTTTGAGCTTGGCAGAGTGGCCAAACCAACCAATCATAACAACAGAATTCTAAGCACCTGAGAGTGAGCCTCCCATAACATTGCATTGTGCCACTCCCAACAGAGATAATCCAGGTGGATAACATTTACAATCAGGAGCTCCTCAGTTGTTCATTCCACCACTGAGTTTACAATGACTAATGGGTAGAAAAGCCATACTGAGTAATTTACTACACTGTACCCTGCTTTCTGGAAGTTTGCTTTACAACACTTCGCTTTTACAAAAGACCTACATTAGTACCTGTTTTCCCTAAAGGAAAGAAATCTGAAGAGAATTTTCACTTTCAGGGAAAAAGGCAAAAAGCAAATGCAGCGAGTCATTCAAGAGGCAGCACACACTTGGAGCAGTAAGCGTGGTGTCGCCAAGCTCCTTCTCCAGGAACCATACTTACTTACGTCTTCTTTCCAGACAGATCTTATCTTTTTTTAAAAAAACAAAACTATATGTCCTTTAAAATGGAATGAAATAAAATGGATTTTATAAAAGGATAAACACTTTTGCAGAAAAAATATCTAAAACTCCAAGAAAACAAACAAAATATAAGCATCTTTATAAGTTTGGTATTGGATAGCAGAGTCAATAGTAATTGTTTAAAAATAAATTTTATTTTAAAATAATTTTAGATTTATAGAAGAGTTGCAAAGATAATACAAAGTAATTGGTTTTGTAACATCAATTTAAACCTGTCAGGTGCTCCTTGGATTTAGTTTATCATTTTAGGATAATGAAAAATAAGTTCAGATGATGAAGATATTTCTCCTCTTCCTGATTATTTGAAAGAAAAACTTAATCCAGAAATTTTACTCTATCATTAACACCTGTAATGTTGTTTTAATATGTAAGTTTTAAAATATTACCAGGGCCTTAACATTTCTTTACCAAATAAGTAATCATCTTTAATAACAACTAAGAAACTTTGGGAATAAAGAGAATTAATGTGAAAAGAAATGAGATCAGATCCCCTGTAGGTTAAGGTATATTTTGTAGGAATTTTTCCCCTATACATTAATAATTTAAAATAAAACAACCTCCTAAAACATACACATTTAAAAAATATGGTAGAGATATTTTAAATCTTATTACATAAGTCTTTCAGAATTTCTCTATTACTCATTTGGGAAAAATAGGACAGTATGAGCAACAATCTATAAAAACTGGGCACATATGTATAGATTTTGTAATCAAAACATATTTTAAAATTTTAATATGAAACTATTTCAGTCACACAAGTATCTAATATCCATATTCTCACTACATAGATTTTTAAAATGTTAACATTGCCACATTTGTTTCAGAATTTTTTTTAAAGAAATAATACATTACAGATACAGGTTTGGTCTTCTTATCAGTTAGGATTCTGTTATAGAAAACAGGAACAACCATAGCTATTTTAAGCAGAAGGGGATTTAAGATAGGGGATTGGGTGCTTACAAAGTTATTGGTGGTTAGAGGGGTCAGCTTTGGGCTGGGCTTTTAGCAACAATCCCAAAGCAAACCACAGAATGGTACAACCAAAGAAGATGCCTCCTGAGACCCGATCCGGAAGGTGGAGGACCAGAAAGCCACCACTGGAACTTGACCCTAGACTACACTGCCATAGTACAACTTGCTATCAAGAAGCTGCCACTGACCACTGCAACTTTTGGATCCAGAGCCCTTCTGAGCCTGCTAGATCTGTACTGGCAAAAATGTGATGCCCTATGCCCTGTTTTTGACACTAATGAAGCTGTAACAGGACACTAGGATGTTTCCTGAGGAAAACTCAACAGCTCATGACTGTTCTTACCAAAGGAAACCACAGAACCGGCAGAAGCATGACCTCCACTTCCTTTCTGCCTTCCAAATCTCACACAAGTGCATCTGATTGGCCATCTCAGCAGAATGTTCTCAGATATTGGCAACCAAAATAATAATGAAGATGCTATATAATAAAGTGGCAGAAACTTTGTTAAAGGTCTTGAAAATCATGTTCATATATTAACAACATAATACTTTTAAACTTGCATGGCTCCCCCCCTTTTTTTTAACCTTTTGATACATAATTTGTTATCTACCATTATCTGAACGCCTGTAACAGCAAGCTTCAACATCACCCATTATGTTACTTTGTTTGTTGGTGAGTTGTCTGTCCCTGTAGGAGACTTATTTCCCCAATTAGACAGTCCCTGAAGAGAGAAATGAAATCCTGTTCTCCTCTTTTGACCCCTATCACAGGCTCTTGCATATGGCAACCAGCTGAACTGTTTATTGACTGAAACTCCAAGGAGCTCCACTCGTCCCTCTTAGATGCCAAGTGGAGGCAGAGGAAATAGTTCACTTTTAAGCCTTCTTGAAAGGCTTTCTGTCCTTCACAGTTTGTCTTTATAGAAAATGACAATTGATTGTAAATGTGTTCCTTTCCAGGGACCAGCTGTATAACCAGACACCTAACAGAGCTGGAGCTCTTAAGGACTCCTTGGAGTGCCCCGCAGGTCTGAGACCACAGGGTCCCCGGGCTGCATCCCCAGCTGCTGCTCCTCGACCCCCTAGTAACCCTCCAGCCAGAGGAACTCTGAAAACAAGCAATTTGCCAGAAGAATTGCGTAAGTTGTCTGCAAAGTTGTTTTCTCCTTCTTACCAGCTCTTACCCTTGTGAGTATTTGAGTATCATCCATCTATAATTTCAGATATTTGTCATATATTCAGTGAAATAAAATTTACTTTCTTGCTTTTGCTTTTTGCTAAACAAGAACAAAGAAAGCAACCAGTATTTTCGTATAAATGTTTTTAGTGATTCTAAAACTACCAGTAACACAATGTACCAGACTTTCTTAAACACATAGTCCAACAACAAACAACCCCATCATTTTTCCCTCTTCTAAATGATGCTCTTGAGTGGACTTTTCCCCGGGTAAATTGATTGGATGACCATGTGGTATTAGCCAGGGACCAGCGGCGTCTCACCATAAATTAGCAGCAGTCATCAAGAACGAGGTCATTTCCTGTAGGAAGGAGCAATCTTGTTTGGAAAACAGGTCTCACATTCTCCACACTGCTTCACAACCAAATGCAAACTAAGCCTTTTATTTAAAGAAACATTCAACTAAGTGTCAGGTGATGATTCTTTTTTTTCACATTTTGCAGCCAGAACCAGAAATCTTGAAATATCACCAAAGTGTTCTCATATTAAGGTCAGTCAGGACAGTTAGTTCCAGAAACCTTAAGGAAACAGCCATACTTGTGAAATTGTTATATTCTGTTGTGCTTGCTAGAGAAGCTCAGATAATTTTATTAAGCCTTTGGGCACCTCTTTGAATCAACCTTGAAATGAACCCCTGTTGAGAGATCTGTGCTCTAGTCATAATTTACAGTGCTGAAAGACTTCCATGCAATGATCCACTGCTGCTCTTCATTTAAATGTTTTTGTTTTTTTTTCCTGAAAATCTTTTAAAAATACTACATGCTTTAATTGTGTAGAACTGATGTTACTGTGTATGGGATCGGTTTATAAACCCACTGCCATCTAGTCAATTCTGACTCATAGCAACACCCAATGGGTTTCCAAAGCTGTAAATCTTTATGAAAGTGGATTGCCTCTTCTTCCTCTCACAGAGCAGCTGGTGGGTTCGATCAATGACCTTTTGGTTAGCAACAAAATGCCTTACCCACAGTCTATGGATCATATTTATCTTACCATAATCTGTTAAAAAAAAAAAATACAACTCACTGCCATCCAGTAGATTCTGAGTAATAGTGACACTCCATTGAGTTTCTGAGGTGGTAAATCTTTATGGAAGTAAATTGCCTCATCTTCCTTCCGTGGAGTGGCTGGTGGGTTTGAACCACCAACCTTCTGGTTAGCAGTCAGACGCCTGCCTGAGGCACTGCACTACCAGAGTTCCTTATAATCTATAAAGGCAGCCCTAAAATTACTTATTTAGGAGTTAGTTGAATATTAGGAGTTGAGAATTAAATTAATTGAGGGCCATCAATATGCCTGGCTGTTTAAATGGGTCAATATGACCCCTGAACACTGTTGTTGAGAGCCTGAGCGTAGCTGAACACGTACAAATTCTTATTTTCTCTCCAAATCTCCTTTCTTCTCCACCCTCTGCCTCAGGGACTTCCTGAGATTTAGCCAGTGTTCTGGTAGCGTAGCACCTAAGGCACTTGACTGCTAACCAGAAGGTTGGCGGTTCAAACCCACCAGCCACTCCTGGGAAGGAAGGTTGGGCAATCTACTTCCATAGCGATACTGCCTAGGAAACCCAAGGAGGGGTTGCTGTGAGTTGGGTCTGACTCGACAGCACATAACAACAACAACAACATTCTCAAGTAAAAATCAACACAAAGAAATTATTCATCTCTCACTTTAAATTGCTAGCTAGATAATGTCCCTAAGACTAACCAAACCAAACCAAAACAAAAACATTGGTTCACATCCTTACAAAGTTAAATGTAGTTCTCAGCTGCTCTTAGCTGACCTCGGCAAGAGTGAGGGAGTTAGCAGCATTGCACTGCCCAGCCCTGGAGTCTCTCCTTTAAGTAACTGAAGTTCTTCTATTTCTGAGCTGCACTTTAGCCTATTCCAACTTCCTGTTCTTTCCCCCACAAGAGAGTGGATGGGAGGAATGAAGAGAAGGGCAAACACTTTCTCTCTCCTCTCCCCACATTTGCTCTAGTCAAGCAAAAGTTCCAGCGCAGCAGAGAGCATCACAAGATCAAAAGAGGACATGCTGGGTGGCCCTGTAGGTCTCCTTTAGCGTGTCTCTGCTTCTTTGGCAGGCTGTAAGAGCATTCCTTGGGCATGGCGCCAAGTGTCTCTAGGAAACCAGATGGTGGCCTGATCTTAAGGGCCCACAAGTTCTGGGTGGTGGAAATTTGTTAAAGCATCATGTGGTTTCTCAGATCTCTTCAGCTTGTCTCCCAGCCTGCCGTGCTCCCATATGTCCCCTTATTTCCATTTACCCTGAGCAGTCTGCGTGCCTTTGGGCAGACCCCCTACCCTTTGGGTTTGAGGAGCTGTGCTCTGGGGACAGCAATCCAGTTGAATGTCCTACACTGCTGCAGACAGAAGCTCTTAGGAATCACCCCTCCCCCACCAAGTTTCCCTTTATTATTCTTGGAGAACAAAAGACACTGCACACATTTCAGAAGTGTAGTTTAGAACTGATTGATTTGACTAGTTTCTGATAAATGTGAAAATCTCTCTTTCAGGGAAAGTCTTTATTACATATTCTATGGACACAGCCATGGAGGTGGTGAAATTTGTGAACTTTCTGTTGGTAAACGGCTTTCAAACTGCGGTAAGTATTTTATCCAAAGAGAAAACTGAACAGTTAAAAGCAAGTACAATGAAAATAAGCAAACAAAAGAAATTAACAAGTATCAATAGCTGTTGCTGTTTTAAACTATATAATTTGATTTATATGATTATGAACTAAGTAGTTACAGATTTAGGTAATTGTTTTCTAGATGTTAAACCATCTCAAGTCCCCAGCATTTTCATCCTTTATGCTTTTTGAGGTGACCCTGAGTGCCTCTGGCCAGCAAGAACATTGTCATTACAGACCACACATGCAGCTGGCCCTGGCCTGCAGGAACCATCGGCCCTGGCCTGCAGGAACCACCACCGGCTCTTGCTGTACTTTGTACCCTTGCCCTTTTTCACCAATCTTGCCCATTTGGGTTGTGCTTCCAGTGATATAGGAAGCTGCTTCCTTTACGGGTCACCTGCTTATTTAACAAGACCCTTTTGCTCTGCACTGGGCTTTGAGGTTTGGTCCCTTGGGTATCCAACTTCAAATACACTAGGGCTAGCAAAAGTCAACCCCCCCCTGAGCCTGGCTGCCCCATCGCACACAGCTGCCATTCTACACCTTGATGTAGCAGCAATGCTTCTGGTCAGGGGATACACGGCCGGATTCTCGGCTGGTGTGGTCTATTTCTAGGAAAGGTAGATTTCACTCAGCCCAGTTGGCTCAATATGATCTTGGGCCAAGAAATCTCAGAAAGCAGACTCTTCCTGTCTTCCTGCAACCCCTTGAAAAAACACAGCCTAAAGCCATGTGACTGTATCTTTAGGATAACAAAATACCACAGGAGGCTACGTGGAGGGACTGGCTTTCCTCAAAGACTGAGATCACTTCTTTTCCTTCCCAGAGGTTCTCTCTGGGTATTTAAACCAAACCCACTGCTATTGAGTTGATTCTGACTTATAGCAACCCTATTGGACCCCTTAGGGTTTCCAAGGCTGTAAACCTTTATTGAAGCAGACTGCCTCATCTTTCTCCCGTGGAACACCAGGTTGGTTTGAACCACAGACCTTTTGGTTAGCAGCCAAATGCTTTAACTACTGCACCACCAGAGCTCTGCTCAGGTATTTAGTGATGGTGAATTCTAGATAGTGGTGAAAAATGAAAGGAAATATTTGTGCATGAGAATATTGAAGGATAAAGACGGAACACTTGGTAACTAAATATAAATTTCAAAGGTTATAATAGCATTGTTTAATAAACCCAAAAACCAAACTCACTGCCGTCAAGTTGATTTGACTCGTAGTGACCCTTCCTTGGGTTTCCAAGGTGGTATCGCTACAGAAGTAGATTGCCCAATCTTCCTTCCAAGGAGTGGCTGGTGGGTTTGAGCCAGCATTATTTAATAGGAGTTTTTATTTGAATATTTCTTTATCCTATAACACAATTCTTTTTTTTTTTTTTAACTAGCAGTGCCTGAAAGTTTAAAAAAAAATTATACAATCTAGCTTTATGACTATATAGAGACCAATATTTCACTCTCTCATTTCTAGAATAAGAAAATATCATCACAACAATAACATAAATTATAAGATATAAGGCCAACATTTCAGAAAACATCCAACTTTTTGATCATTTCCAAAGACGCATACTGATGGGCTAAGAAAGGAGCCCAGAAAGAGCTTAGAAAGGGGCTGCGTAGGTAGAAATTTGTTTCTGTCCTTGACCCTCATCACTATGAAGTTTTTAGTAGAGTCACAGAGCCCTAGCCTGGACAGCTAAGTTAGTAATATTGATAAAGCAGGATCTCCTTAGTTGAATGATAAAATTAAAGGGTAATTTAAAGCTTTTTAATAGGGGACCATTTACAGAGCTGTAGGAAGGTCTTAGGGAATCCATAGGGAATAGTGCAATATCCTGGGGCTAGCAAAAGCAGGGAGTTGTTACCACCTATAGATCTGAAGAGGCAAGGGAGGAGTGGTTACTGGATCGTGAAGAGAAGAGCTGACCTAACATCAGGTCCGACTCGATGGCACATAACAACAACAACACAACATGTATTTGACAGTTTGGAGCATATAAGGCATGATATCTTTCCATGTTTTTTTTGTTGTTGTTATGTGCCATCGAGTCAGACCCGACTCATAGCGACCCCTCCTTGGGTTTCTGAGGCAGTATCACTATGGAAGTAGATTGCCCCATCTTCCTTCCGAGGAGTGGCTGGTGGGTTTGAACCGCCAGCCTTCTGGTTAGCAGTCAAGTGCTTTAGGCACTAAGCTACCAGACACATAGGGAGCTTAGAATCAGGTTGAGAAGATAAGACAGACATAAATGAGACCCTTTTTTTTCTTCAAGTGTCTAAAGAAGAAGGAAGAAAGAATGTTATGACAATTTTTCATTGTCCAGTACCACCAGTGGTCACAATGGGGTAGAGTTAGTGAGGTGACTAGAAGGAGGTCATGCAGGGAACTCTGATGTGGAGAGAGAGGGGACAGGAGCCAGGTATGAGCATGGTAGGAATTGGAGATGGTAATCCCATCTTGAGTAAAGTAGAGAGGGTATGTGGGGAAAGAGAGTAAGGTTGGATCACGTTAAGACACAGAAGCTTGTTGGATGGCTAGGACTTGCCTTTATCAGTTTCTAAATAGGAGCGTGACATTTAGGACAATTCTGGGAGCAATGTGGCCAAACCAAATAACTCCTTCTTAAGGATGGAGAATCCACACACTCTGAGTGACTCGTTCCTGTGCATGATTATGACCCATCTATGAATCAAGAGTACCTGTGCCCACACACAGCGCTCTCTGGCTGCAGTACAAGAGTAGGCCCACGGAAGGCCTCTTACTAGATCTTCCATAAAACAGAAAATAACTCATGTTTCTCCTTTTTAAATTCCCCTTCATAAACTTAAAGATTGATTTCAGTATCAGTCTTTTCAAGCCCTAAGATTTCTACTTCTTGACTTTCATCACAAACCTTTTCCCCACCATCTCATTAATTGTTTTTGTGACTGTTACTTGGATCTGCTCCACGTTTCATAAAATCTTTTTGAAATGTGTAGATTGAAACTGGACATAGTAGTATAATAATGACCTGACTAACACAAACACAGCACCACAACTGTATCTCAGTACTTGAATGCTACACATCCATTAAAGTGTTCTGGAACCCTAGTTCCCTTTCCAAAATATATATATATATATAATGTATATATATTTTTTATATATACACACCTTTTTTCTGGCTTAGATTCAACTTAGTGATCCACTATATCTCTCAGAGTTTAAAAAACTTAATTGTATCGCCATGAATACATGTTGATATGTATCATTATATTCTAATAGTGGACATTACATACTTAAATGCCTATTCATGTTGAAATAGGAAACATTCTAAGAAAATTGCGTTTTGCTTTTTAGACCTATGTGCTCCCTCCTGCCAAAAAAACAAGTATTAGTAACTGTCTTTGTTATCTAGCAGTACTGTAATAGAAATACCATAAGTGGCTGGCTTAAACAAACATTTACTTTCTCACACTTTGGGAGGCTAGAAGTCTGAATTCAGAGTGCCAGCTAGAGGGAGAGGCTCTCTCTCTCTGTGGCTCTAGCTCTGGCGGGAGGGCCTTGTTTCTTTAGCTTCTGCTTCCTGGTTCCGTGGAGATGTCTTGGCATCTCTCTTCCCACATTGCTCCTTGCTAGCTTATGTTTAATTTCTTTTATATCTCAATAGAGATTGACTCAAGATAAACCCTGCACTAATCCTGCTTCATTAACATAACAAAGATAACCAATTTCCAAATGGGATTATAACCACAGGCATAGAGGCCAGGATTTACAACACATAGTTTTTGTGGAAATAATTCAATTCACTAACTTTTGGGGTTTTAAATATATGTAGGCTCTTGTGTTTTCTCTTACTCTGAAGGTGGAAAAAGCTTCTCATGAAGCTGCCGCATCTTTTTCTTCTAGATTGACATATTTGAGGACAGAATCCGTGGCATTGATATCATTAAATGGATGGAGCGCTACCTTAGGGATGTAAGTATGTTGCAAAATGCCGAGATTGCCTTCTCGCGAGAACAATTAGCTTGTGAAGTTATCTTATTAAAGAAGCACTGACATCCCACCCAAGTGCAAAGCTGAGCAAGTCCCAACAAAGGCTCCCTTCTTGGAAGCGCTGCAAAGACTTGGAAAGGAAGGATAGGGGTCACCCTCCTGGACACGCACAGGCAGGAAATAACAGTCAAACCAGACACAGGTGGTTGATAACAATCAGAGCAAACAATTTTTGACTGGAATAGGAAAGGAGGAAATGAAGGTGGGGAGGGAGCGGCAGAATTCAATTTAATCGGAGGCCACTCCAAGTGTTTTGTAGGACTGGGCCGTGCAGCGCTCCACCCCTGAGGCGCTTACTTGCAGCCCCGTGATTTGTTTTCCACTGACAGAATCTATATTGGCCACTGGGACACTTTGTGCTTTAACAAGATAGAAATTGATTGCTGCCAGCGTGTCTGTGTCGGCTGCTTCTTTTGGAGGGAGCCGGTGGGGGACAGGAGTTGCACAGGCTGGGCTTTTGCTGCTTTTTCTTTTGTCTGCAACCTGATGTTTGGTTTGTGCTGAAGGCTCTGCTCCTATTGACTGTGCTAACGCAAGCACACCGAATGCAGGGCGGTCAGGAGTGCAGGAACGGACAGCTGAGCTCCGGCTACGGGGAGAGAGGAGGGGCTTTTCATCGTTGGTGCAGAGCCTTTTCACTACGGTGATGCAAACTCAGTGATTCAGGCTTTCATTAGACATTTATTAGTGATGGCTGCGGAAATGGTGGGAGAAGCATGGCTGTTAGGAGAGCTCCACTCTGAGCCACTTGCTCTGTGTGTTCGATGGGGGAAGGGGCTGGACAGGAGGAGGGGAGGGGAAGGGAAGACAAGCGGCTCGGGGTGTGGAGGGTCAGTGCCTTTCACGGTCCACAAGAATGAGCCTGTCCCTCCATCCAGAGCATGTTAGCACACGCTTACAGCCCTGCTGGCCAGTTTCCACCCTGCTTTCACCAAATGGACCACACTTTACACTTCCATAAACATGCTTCTCTGCCTCTCATTAACAGAAGACAGTGATGATAATCATAGCAATCAGCCCCAAATACAAACAGGATGTGGAAGGCGCTGAGTCGCAGCTGGACGACGACGAGCATGGCTTACATACTAAATACATCCATCGAATGGTGAGTGGGGAGGGAGTCCCAGCACCTCACGCCCCTCAGGGATGGGTGGGCACCTAAGGAAGGCCTATTGCCGACTAGAGAGCAAGTGAAGGCAGCAATGTGAGGCTGGGTGAAGGAGGCTGGATGAAGGACCCCACGGCTCCCAAGTCAGGAGAAGAGAAGTAGTCCTGACCCTGTCTACCTATGGAAGCTTGGGCCAGTCACCACATGACATATCAGTAATAAAGCGACATTAGTCTGTGATCTCTAGGGGCCAAGAGTCTGGAAAGCAGTGCTCTGCTGCTTGGTTGTTCGCAACACATGTGTAGTCTAGGAGGGGTGAGAAAGAGGGCTGGGGGGGAGTGCGGGGAGGGCGTTCCTGTACCTGCCTTTGCAGAGAGGCAGGGGGACAGAGCGAAAAGGACATGTGCTGTTTGGTGGAGTCAGGCAGCCTTGATTCAACTCCAGCCTCCTCCTGAGCAGGCTGGGTGACTGCCATGCTTCACTAGTGTTGCTAAAGCAGAAAAACCACAAGTGGGGGTCTTTAGCAAACAGAAATTTCTTTTCTCACGGTTTAGGAGGCTAAACGTCAGACGTCAGGGGGCAGGTTCCAGGGGAAGGCTTTCTCTGTCACCTCTGGAGCAGTCTTTGTCTCTTCTGAGCTTCTGTTCCTGGGCAATCTCAGTGTGCTGGCATCTCTCTTCCCCCATCTTGTGTTTAATCTCTTTTATATCTCAAAAGAGACTGACTCAAGATAAACCCCATACTAATTCTGCCTCGTTGTTGTTGTTATTGTGTGCCAGCATAACAAAAACAACCCATTCCCAACTTGGATTGTAACTCTGAAAAGAACAAGTCACTGCCGTGGAGTTGGAGCCAACTCATAGCGACCCCTTCTTGGGTTTCTGAGGCAGTATCACTATGGAAGTAGGTTACCCAACCTTTCAAGGACTGGCTGGTGGGTTTGAACTGCTAGTCTTCTGGTTAATAGTCAAATGTCTTAGGCACTATGCCTAAGGCATAAAAAAATCGAACTCATAGCAACTCCCATTGGGTTTCTGAGGCTGTAAATCTTTATAGAACTAAATTGCCCCATCTTCCTTCCAAGGAATGGCTGGTGGGTTTGAACCACTGACCTGGTTAGCGGTCAAATGCCTTATCCACTATGCCACCAGAGCTCTTTAACCATAGGCATAGAGGTTAAGATTTACAACATATATTTTTGGAGGACACAATTCAATCTATAACAGTAACCACGGGCCAATTACTTAAAAATTCTGTGCCTTAGTGTCCCTATTAGTAAAATGGGTCACCAATACTTACGACTGGACAATCTACTTCCGTAGTGATACTGCCTCAGAAACCCAAGGAGGGGTAGCTGTGAGTCGGGTCTGACTCGATGGCACATAACAACAACAACAACAATACTTAGGAAGTGGTTCTCATGCTCTCCATGACTATGGTGATGTTGTGGGGACAGTTACTGCTTGACGAAGGTGCTGGACAAGACTCATGACTTCATATGTGTAGAGTAGCAGTGGCTCTGGACCCCCCACCCCATCTCAGTCAGAGCTGGTCTGTACTTCTCAGCCGTGTTTGTTTATCAAGGATTCTGAGATTTTAAAAAGTTGGAAAATCACTGGACTAGAATCTGTAAGCTCCCTTTCAGTTCTAACAATCCACAAGGGTTGGGGGAAGCACTCAGAATGGACACAGGGGCTCACTGAGACAGGAAGATGGGACAGGAAGCAAAAGTGGCCCAAATGAAATAAGCAGCATAAAGAAGGAAGCAGTCCAGGTCAGCCACAGGACATACAGCTTTAACCCAGTCTTAAATCCCATGTCTGTACTATGTATCAAAAGTATAGGAAAAAGGTGGGCTGGTGAGTGGGTGTTTCTCATGTGGGTGTCTAGGGTCGCTGTCACTTCTTCCACCAAGTGCTGACCACTGTTTGAGCTCAGAACCAACCCAAAGTAAAACCAGAGGCAAGGTGGCGAGGTCAAAAGTATAAGGCCAAGGAGTCAGGAGAAGCTGCTAAGTCTCCCTCCTGTTCCCGTATTACCCCAGTCTAGCAGCACCCAGAAAAGGTACCATTTCTGAAAGTAAACTGCCCTAAAACCTCAGGGCTTCCTCTGGGTGCTGCCATCCGTTGGCTGTCAGCTGCATGTTTGCATGTCTCCAGAGGACCCAATGTCCTGCCTGCATCTCTAGGAACATGCCAGACCCAGGAGTGGACAGCTGGTGTGTGGGAAGGGCCCCAGGTCTGTGCCAGTTCCTGAGGAAATGTGTCCAGCTCTGTTGGTGTGTGGCAAAGCCAGGCAGAAATAAACAACAACCTCAGAGTTTGGCTGACTGTGCCCAGCCATGAACCAAATACTCTCCAGACATGCTTTTTTTTTTTTAGGACAACAATATCTTGGCCCTTAACTTTGGCCAAGATACAGAAGCACCTTCCTTCCCACCTAACTGACTTTCTACTCTCCCTGACCCCAATACATAGCCCTGGCAATAGAAAACCTTAGAACAATAAGAACTTGGTCGTAACAGTGTTTGAAGAGGTACCCTTGAGTTCATCATCATAGAGCACACTACTTCAGAAAGCCAATATCTGGAAGTATGAGAGGCAGAAAATACAAATGAACTGTGGCTGGATAGTCCCTTAACAGACTGAGTAACCTAGTGGTCAAACCAAATTTTAGTTTTAGGAAGCCAGAAAGTAAACCCAGTTTTCACTTTTAAATTACTAATTCCATATACTTCCTTTCATATGTTTACTCTTTACCAGTGTGGTTGGTGCTTTTAGTTGCACAGTACATGGTTATTTTAAAATATGCTTTTGGTGTTGATATTTAAAAGGAAATTTTAAAAGGAAATCAACAAAATCCTAGCCATAGAATCCAACACTATATCAAAAAAATAATACACCGTGACCAAGTGGGATTCATATCAGGTATGCAAGAATGGTTCAACATCAGAAAAACAATAAATATAATCCATCATATAAATAAAACAAAGGAAAAGAACCACATGATCATATCAATTGATGCAGAAAAGGCACTTGATAAAATCCAACTCCCATTCCTGATAAACACGCTCAGCAAAATAGGAATAGAAAGGAAATTTCTCAACATAATAAAGGGCATATATGCAATGCCAATAGCCAACATTATTCTCCATGGACTATAATGGAGAATATAGTCCATGTCAAAGTATTCTCCTTTGGAACGGGAACCAGATGCCCTCTATCACCACTTCTATTCAACATTGTATTGGAAGTGCTAGAAAGAGGCAAGGAAGACAATAAAGAGAAATAAAAGGCATCTAAATTGGTAAGGAAGAAGTAAAACTATCTCTATTTGCAGATGATATGATTCTATACATAGAAGATCCCAGAGACTCAGCAAGAAAAGTACTGGAACTAATTGAAAGATTCAGCAAAGTGGCAGGATGTAAGATCAACACACAAAAATCAGTTGGATTTCTCTACATCAACAAAGAGATCTCTGAAAAGGAAATAAGGAAAACAATACCGTTTACAAGAGCTACCAAAAAGATAAAATACTTAGGAATAAATCTTACCAAGGACACAAAAGACCTATACAAAGAAAACTACAAAACACTACCACAAGAAACTATAAGAGACCTACATAAATGGAAGAATATGCCATGCTCATGGATAAAAGGGCTGATTATTGTGAAAATGTCAATACTACCAAAGGCAATCTATAGATACAGTGCAAACCCTATCCAAATTCCATGTACATTCTTTAAGGACATGGAAAAACCAATCACTGATTTCAAATGGAAAGGAAAGAGAGCTCAGATAAGCAAAGCACTACTGAAGAAGAAAAACAAAGTAGGAGGTGTTACACTTCCCAATCTCAAAACCTACTATACAGCCACAGTAGTCAAAACAGCCTGTTATTGGTACAATGATAGACATATAAACCAGTGGAACGGAATTGAGAATCCAGCAATAGATCCATACACCTATGGACAGTTGATCTTTAACAAAGGGCCAAAACCCATTCAAATGGGAAGAGAAAGTCTCTTTCAACAAACAGTGCTGGCAAAACTGGATATCCATTTGCAGAAAAATGAAACAAGATACATACCCAAAATTGTAAAGTTCATCAAAAATAAAATAGGGGCAAACCTAAGGGTCCTAATTTATGGCATAATTAGACTATCAAGCATAACCCAAAATGCACAAATAGAAGATAAACTAAGATCTTCTAAAAATTAAATTCTTACCTGCATCAAAAGACTTCGCCTAAAGAGTAAAAAGAGAACCTATAGATTGGGATAAAGTGTTTGGTAACAACATATCCGACAAGAGACTTATCTCTAAAATTTATAGAAAACTTCAACACCTCAACATCAAAAAGACAAACAATCCAATTGAAAATGGGCAAAGACACAAACAGACACTTCACCGAAGAGGATATTTAGGCAGCCAACAAACACATTAATAAATGCTCATGATCATTAGTCTTTAGAGAGATGCAAATCAAAACAACAATGAGATATCATCTTACCCCAGCAATAATAGCAAAATTCAAGAAGACAGACAACAACAATATTGGTGAGGGTGTGGAGAGACTGGAACTCATACACTGCTGGTGGGACTGTAAAATGGTACAGCCACTTTGGAAAATGGTATGGCACTTCCTTAAAAAAGTTAGAAATGTCATTTGATCCAGAAATGCCACTGCTAGGAATATATCCTAAAGAGGTGAGATCTGGGACATGAATAGATACACGCACACTGTGTTCATCAAAGCACTATTCACGATAGTAAAGAGATGGAAACAATTTAAGTGCCCACCAATGGATGAATGGATAACCAAACTATGGTACATACATACAATGGAAGACTATGCAATACTAAAGAATAATGAAGAATCTGTGAAACACCTCATAACATGGATGAACTTGGAGGACATTATGCTGACTGAAATAAGTCAGTCATAGAAGGACAAACATTGTATGACTGCATTATTATAAAAAGTCAAAGAACAGTTTACACAGGGAAGGAAATTTTCTTTGTTGGTTACCAGGGATGGGAGGGGAGAGGAGGGAAAATCGCTGCCTTTTTAAGAGATGTGTTGATTTGGGTGAAGGGAAAAACAATATAACAAGAGTGTATGAGCAGCACAATATCACTAAGGAAGAGGAGGACACAGGTGCACAAGAGGTGCAGACAACAAAGGTTAACACTGTCACATACACATATAACAAACACCAATCCATGGGTGGATACATAGGTAGACAGACAAGATCAGGTCTGGGTAGGTGAACAGGAATAGGTTTGGCAGATGGTATTCCTACATACATATTTGTATGTGCTATAAATTATGTCCATATAGATTATAGAGCTAACAGGGGACAAATTTAGGACAACTTCTTACCTACAACCAAGTACCTTGAGGGAGTGAGTCGTTGAGCCTACAGGCTCAAGACCATACCCATGGAGGACATCAAGCTCAACTAGCACAACATCATATGCTATAGCATTGCTCTATAGCCTACTTTGATAGTAGTGACTGGGGTCTTAAAAGCTTGAGAGCGTCAATCTAAGATGCAACTATTAGCCTCTCCTCATCCAGAGCAAAGAAGCGTGAAGAAAATGAAGACATGCGGAAACAATTAGTCCAAGGGACTAATGGACAATGGGAACCTCAGTTTACATGACACAGAGACCAGAAGAACTGGATGGTGCCCAGCTACCAATGCCAACCACTGAGAAAGGGATCATAATTGGAGATCCTGAATAGAGTGGGAAAAAGAATGTGGAACAAAATTCAAAAACATAGAGACAAGGATTACTAGTTAGAAAGTGAACTGGTGAAAGTGCCAAGACTATGGCCCTGAGTCACCCTTCAGCCTGGAATTAGACTCACTCCCTTGGCTTAACCGTCAGCTAAACAATAGGCCTACGAGTTGAAAAATTACACCAGCAAGGTGCACTCCTTAGCACAATCAACCATGGGAGATGAGAAGGGCAGCACTTGTGATAGGAGAAAGCACAGAAGGCAGGAATGCATAGGAAAGAAGGACACTGGGAAGGGGTAAGCACTGGGAGGGTAGTTGTTACATTGTGGAGATTGTAATCAGTGTCATGAAACAAAACATGTATGAACTGTTGAATGTAAGATGAATCTGCTTTGTAAAATTGCACCTAAATCACAATAAAAAGTTAAAAAAAAAAAAAGGAAGTTCCGAAAAAACACTTTATAGAAGGTACGTGTGTGGTTGTATGTTGGAATATATGTGTGTGTGTGTATGTGAGTATGTGTGAGTGTGTATTTAAGAGAGGTTTCTATGGTGATTTCATTACCCAGTTGTCTCCACTGTCACTTTCTTCTTTGTTCTGTTTCTATGCCCATGTACAACGAAGACTTCTCAGTTACAAAAATCAATTGGAACATGAAATGGTTGGGAACACATAATTCCTCATCTTCTTGTCATCAGAAGACTGAAAGCTTGGTGCTGGTCTCAGGATTTGGAAGATTCTAATTCTTCTCAGACTGAACATTCTGGTTCGATAGGTTCTTGGCAACTAAATCCCCCTGGGCCTTTGCAGGATCAGAGGAAATTGGAACTTGTGTGAGGAATCTAAAGTGGGGCAGATAGCTCTTCACAACTGACCTTTCAGCCTCACCTCCTGACTCCCTCCCAAGCCCTAGGCTCTAGCCACAGTGGATCACTAGCTGGTCACCAACCACATTACGCAGTTCACATCTCCAAACATTTGTTCATGCTGGTTCTTCTACTGATAATATCCTTCTTCTCACCCCCATTATTCCTGCTTAACCAAATGCTTTTTTTCCTTTCAGTACCCAAATGACACCTCCCTTGTGACTGTACTTCAGACCCCTAATTTAGAATGGACAGCCCCTCTCTGGGCTGCCACACCATTTCCTTCATATTTTTCATGCCACATTATGGTTGGTAATCTACCTTTCTGCCTGCTAATTAGACTGTTGGCTTTGTGAAGATAGGGATGGTGTCGTTGGTGTTCTTATAATCTGAGTCACTGGAAACAACACCAACAACACAACTCCTGATCTGTAGCATTTACCAGTTTCCATGGTATATACTTACTATGGCCAATTTCAAGGTACCAAAATGAAGTCACTAAATATAGAGTTAGGAAGAGACATGCACCACGGGCTCTTGTGAGCTGATGTGAGCTGGCTCCAGCACACCTGCAAAGATATCCTAAAACTTAAAACTCAGTCCACCACAGAGTGTGCTTTCTAATAAGCTTTCAATAAATGATTGATGAGTGAGTGAATGACATAGATGTAATGGGAAGGACTTGAAATTATAACTGTTTAGTGCTCAAATAAGGAAAACAAAAAAATATTATATGGGCTTGCATGATTATGTTGTTGCCATTAGGTGCCATCAAGTTAGTTGCAACTCATAGTGAACCCATGTACAACAGCAAAACACTGCCCAGTCCTGCACCATCTTGCTGTTTGAGCCCATTGTTGCAGCCACTGTGTCAGTCCATCTCGTTGAGGGCCTTCCTCTTTTTCACTGACCCTCTTTGTTACCTAGCTTGAATATCCTTCTCCAGAGACTGATCCCGTCTAACAATATGGCCCAAGTATGACAGATGAAGTCTGGTAATTCTCACTTCTAAGGAGCATCCTGGCTGTACTTCCTCCATTTGTTCATTCTTCTAGCAGTTCATGGTACATTCAATATTCTTTGCCAACACCACAATTTGAATGCTTCAATTCTTCTTCAGTTTGCCTTACTCACTGTTCAGCTTTTGCACACATATAAGGTGATTATATACCATGGCTCACCTTAGTCATCAAAGTGACGTCTTTGCTTTTTAACACTTTCAAGAGGTCTGTTGCAGCAGAATTTGTATGATTATGATGATCATTACTCCTCGTCCTCTTTCCTGAAATTAATCATTCATATTTGTTTGGTTTCAGATGCAGATTGAGTTCATAAAACAAGGAAGCATGAATTTCAGATTCATCCCTGTGCTCTTTCCAAATGCTAAGAAGGTAAACAAATAACAACAAAAGCCCTTATAGTTTTTGTTTTATTTTGCATTCTGAGAATTTAAGTGGAAAACCTTGTCAGACTCTTTATCAATCCTTAGAAAGAAGGACTGATATATAACTAGAAAGATCAACAACTTGTACCACTAGGTTCAGCAGCATGAATCAGGGAGTTTTAAAGTACTATCTGATAGAACCATCGCTGCCCTAATTGTTCAAACAGTCGTTGCACACAAAGAAGCAGTTTGTGTTTTAACTCATAAAAGAAAGAGATTGTTCATCTGATATTCCCTATCTTTTGTACATAAAAGTCAAGATGTGTATGTTTTATGCTGGCTCTTCCACAGAAGTATTTTGTTGCACATGGTTCAGGTCTCCAAGCCTTAGAATAATACGAATTAAATGTACACGGTTCCCAGTGTGAACTCTGCTGTGGTTCCCATGAGAGTTCTTTGCACCAGAAAGGCCTACCAGCAGGTTTGGGGAATGGAGGCAAAATCTTCTGAGGCCAGTCCCAGACTCACCCAAAAGGGTGCTAAATGCCAGAACTGCATGGAGACCTCTGCCTTGGTTGGGGAAGAATCCAATTTATGTGACTGGGACACCTAGGGTGGTATAGTATGCAACCTGTACAACAGTATGCCTTTCCATCCCTACTGCCCCTCCCTTCCCTCTAGAATGCTGCAAGAGTCTGCTTACCTCCACTTTGACCCTGGACTAGCCATTCTCTGCTTTATTCCCAAAGACCATCCCAAATGTAGATCTGATCTGTCTCTCTCCAACTGAAGCATTTTGTATGGGTTTCCCATAGACTGTAGGATCATTTCTACCTTTCTTAATGTGAATCATGAGGCCTGTCAAAAGAGGACTGTGCCCACTTGTTCAGCCTTCTCTTTCATCACCCCCTGCATACATGCCCTGTGCTCTGTGTATCCTAGACTATTTCAGCATGCCCTCACATGGGCCATGTTCTTTTGTGTCTCTGTGCCTTTGCCCTTTCTGTTCACTCTGCTTATAAGACCCTTTCTTGCCTTCTCTGTCTAGTGAACTCTTGCTTATCACCTAATCTCTCTAGCCTCCCCTGACCTCTCTTCTCCCAGGCCAATTTATTAAATTGTCCCTCTCTTGAGCACTCTTAATTACAGTATCTTGAGTCAATGGTATGCAGTTGGGAGTTGAAGCATGGAAGTAATTGTTTAGAATTACTGGAGCATGGTGTTATAAAAATAAGACCAACTTTTGGTTGGTTTTATTATTGTTTTTAAACCTTCACCAGACAATCCCCTATTGCCTGCACTTGGGGCAGACTCTTCCTACCACCTGCCCCCCAGTACATCATTGCCTGTAATATGATTGTTTTTCTGTATTTTGTCTCCATTATTAACTCCTCAAGTCATTTCATTTGGGTATCTTCAGTACCTAGCATAAAGCCTGGCACACAGCAGGTGCTCAGAAGATGTTTACTGATTATATGGAGCATGTACTCTCATCCTCCAAAACCCAAAGGAGCTCCAGCTCATCAGAGCAAAAACCATAGGTCTCACACAATGGCCTCCAAGGCCTCTCTGCTAGAGCCCTCTCTCTTGCAGACCTCTCCTACACCCTCGCACTCATTCTGTTCAAGCTACACTGGCCTTGTTGCTCCTTGAACAGGCCACCCATGCTCCACCACGGGCTCTTTGCACTGGCTGACAGAAGACTGTCAGCATGAAACTCTCAAAGAAAAAAGGCCCAAACTCACTGAGATTGAGTCAATTCTAACTTAAAGCAACCCCCAGTGGGATTCTGAGGCTGCAAATCTTTGCAGAAGTAGATTACCCCATCTTCCTTCCATGGAGCAGTTGGTGGGGTTGAACTGCCGACCTTCTGGTTAGTAGGTAAATGCCTTACCCACTACACCACCAAAGCTCCTTAGCATGAAACTGGACATCCACAAAGCTCAGCTCATTCCCTGAACTCTTTTTAGGCCTTTGCTCATTTTCTCAGAGACACTTTTCCTTAGCACACTATCTAGACTTTCAGCCCTGCTCCAGCACTCCCTATCCCTTTCTCTGCTTTATTTTTTTCCACAGTATGTATCTTACACTATGCATTTTACTTACTCATTATCTGTCAGCCCCCACCAGATTGTCAGCTCCATGAAGCCAGCCTGAAACTGCATGCTCAAGGGCCCAGGTTGACAGTTTGTTTCTTCGTCTGGTAACTGAGGTCTGGTGGGCTCCTTTTACTGCAGGCCAGACCTGAGGCTGAAGTGGAAGGATAATGAATTTGACTAAGCCCATAGCCTTGGCACACTTCTTCCCAAGTCACAGGGGAATTCACATCAGTCTGCGTGACCTCTGTCCTACCCCTTTTATGTGAGGGTGGTGAAAAGCACGTTGATATGCAAAGGGCAGGTAGTCTGGGAGCCTGACAGAAAATGCTGTGCACATGTGGTTTTCATAACGCGACCTCCAGCTTGCACTTGAAGCCAAGAGCATTTCACATGCAAAGCCTGTCCAAAAGCAAAACAGCACACCTCCCAGGGCAGTTTGCTAGGAAACGCCCATGAAAGGAAAACCATAGATGTTTGGGAACCGAGCCTGGGGTCTGGAATCCAGGTTTTTCTCTAATGACTTTTGCTCCTGTCATTCTCTCTCCTGTAGGAACATGTGCCCGCCTGGCTTCAGAACACTCACGTCTACAGCTGGCCCAAGAATAAGAAAAACATCCTGCTGCGGTTGCTGAGAGAAGAAGAGTATGTGGCTCCTCCCCGGGGCCCTCTGCCCACCCTTCAGGTGATACCCTTGTGACACTCCCACCCCCGGACCACTAGGGCCCTGCCATGTGTGGCGCCCTGGTCTGACAGGTGATCTTCTAGCTGAGGTTGGTTGCTAGCACTCCTGCTGTTTGTGTCTCCGTCCCGTCCCTCCGTGAGGAGGCTCCAACCCCTGAAGACCTGTTGTGCAAAGTACTCTTCCTCCTGAGACTTCTTCAGACGTTGTCTCTGAAGTGGAAGCTGTGGCTGCCTTCACTCCCTGCTGCTTAAACCAACTGTGGGAGCCCATGTCCGATGTGTGCCTCCCAACAGTCTGCAGTGTCCGTCTGGGCCTCTCTGTGCTTAACAAATAGAAAATGTAAGTGATATTGCAGAAAATGTAAAAGACCACAAACATTCTCTTATCACTTCTGGCTATTTTTATGGGTTAGCCAGATACTTGCATGTCCTCAGATCAAGCTGATTCATGTACAAATAAAATGTTTACTTTTTTGTAAGATTGTGTTTCACTTTTCTCAAAGGAGACGGATAGGTATTATATTAATTTATAATGATATGGGCAGTTACTTCCAGAGACGTTAACAAAGCTCCTTACCTGTAATATTAGATAAATGTATCAGATTATTCTGTATTAAAAGGAGCTCTGGTGGCATAGTGCCTAAGCCATCTGACTGCTAACCAGAAGGTTGGTAGTTCAAACTCACTAGCCACTCCACAGAAGGAAGATGGAGTAATCTACTTCCGTAAAGATTTACCACCTTAGAAACCCAGTGGGGGTTGCTCTGAGTTGGAATCGACTCAATGGCAGTGAGTTTGGTTTTTGATTCTATTCTGTATTAAAGGATTAAAGCCAGATAGTTGTTTAACATAAGCCTGACAGCTTTATTCTTGCAGTAGAGCTTTTTAACAAAACAACTTTGGACAGCATGCAACCATAATTCTAAATACTATGAGCATAGTTCTTATTTATGTGTATGGATGAAGTGACAGAAGGTGCATAATGCAGGCTTGCATTGGAGCTTGGGAAATCTGTTCTAGTCTTGGCTCTACTACTGACTAGCTATGTGACCTTCAGCAAGTCCTTTCACTCTTGTGACACAGGGTAAAAACCAAACTCACTGCCTTTGAGTCAATTCTGACTCATAGTGACCCCCCTTGGGTTTCTGAGGCAGTATCTCTATAGAAGCAGATTGCCCAGTCTTCCTTCCAAGGAGTAGCTGCTGGGTTTGAGCTGCCAGCCTTCTGGTTAGTAGTCAAATGCCTTAGACACTATGCCACCAGAGCTCCCATGACTCAGGGTACTCATATATAAAATGACATGGACTACAGCATCTCTAATGACCCTAAAGGTTTAAGGTATAGAAACTAAATCTTCTTCAGGATTGCAGAGTTTTCATTTTCATAATTATATCTTCAGTGGATAAAATTACATTGTTCTTAACAGGGACATTTCATTCTTTTATTTTTTAATATCCTCAATAGCCCCTTCAGATTAATAATTTTGGAAAATATATTTATGTATCTATTTTGCTCAGCTGATCTCAAAACACACACACACACAAACCCATATATAAAATATGTACATATGTATACAAAATGTGCATAAAATATAGAGTAAGGTGAGATCATTTTAATTAACGACCAAGACGGGAAGCCAGTCTGAAGACTTTTTGGAGGTGAGATCTGCTTCCCCTTTTCTGTCCACTTAACTAAGTACTTAAACAAGGCTCACGTGCTATGAGGTAGTTCAACCCTTATGTATCACCACAAGGAAAATACAAATACTTCTGAACTATAGATAAGAAACTTTCTAGGAATTATAAAGAATACTCGTTTCATTTACTTCATAGCCTAGATGTCTACTGGGTAAGGTGAAGTCTTTGCTTAAAAAAAAAAAAAAAATAGGAAAAGAAGAGAAAAACTAGCACACCCTAAGTAGTCATTTATGATTCTGACAAGTACCTTTTTCTCTCTAGCATCTGAGGCCTGTGAGACATGACTTTGTTGTTTGGTTTAACTTGAAATGCTTGGAAAACACTCTAAACACGAATTGCAAGTCTTTTTTCTTTCTATTGATGATTTTTTGGATCTGAGATGACACTGTTGTTAAGGATTCAACACACAGTTGTAAATAAAATTACATCAGCTATTATTATTCCAAAATGTTTCTGATTTGCAAAGGTTTAATAATGTGATGTTACCACCTCCTGCCTTCAGAGACCTGTCCCGAGTCCTCAAACACTCATTACTTGTTACTTTCATCCTTCCCACCCCAGGTGAATGATGAAGAAAGGTCCCTGGTGTTCCACAAGTAGTCATTAAAGTTTTACAGCTGGTGGTGCTGGTAGGGAAAAAATAAAATAAAATAAACAAACAAAACACACACACAACCACCTGGCCAAGTGATGAAAGTTTGGCTCCTAAAGCATCTATGAAATCTGATGTCTAAGAACATCAAAGAAATTTTAACAACCATTTTAAAGCACTGATACGAAGATTAACACTTGGTTTATTTAGAAGTCATCCTGGTCCTCATGAATCCATGTGTAGATTACTTCTGGTGGAAGTGGGTGGGCTCAGGCTGACTTAGTGAAAATAGCGTTTTGACTCCAGGCTTTATCCAGACCCAAACTGATTTGGGATGGGGTGGGAGCAGAATGCAAAGTTAGATTCTTGTCTAATAGTAACTGATTTAAAACATGCTTTTTAAGTTTAGTAACTGATTTTAAAATATCTGCTTGTCTAATTTAACTTCTATATTTTTCAAAGACGTCTCAGTACATGGCTACTAAGTATTAGACTAGCTATTTCTCAGTTTGGCGCTCAGAAAAAAAAAATACTTTTATTGATTCCTTTTTCTTTTTTCCTATTAAATAAATTACTTCTTAGATTGAGTTCTTAGAGTCATCTCAGCAAAGGATGCAAGCTCTCCATTAAGAACATTCTAGATTTTATTTCATGGTGTTTTGCCAAGAGCATTTTTCTTAACCCCAGCCACTTCATCTCCTTTGCCAAACACCCCATTGTCACCATCACCTTTGCCAAATGGATTGCAAAGTCCTATGATCATTGGGAAGTGATCCAGAACAAGTCTCTCAAAACACAGGATCTTTCTGTTTCTTCTTAATGAACCAAGAAGAATCAGTGAGACCCACCTCCTAGTGGCAAATGAAAAGAGAAAGGTTAGGTTGTGGGAAACTACCACAAAGAAGAAACTTACACTGTTTTTCAAGATAAATATCTCAATATGACCCCACCAGCCAGATAAACAGGACACACTCATTTTTACCAAAAAGGAAAGAAGAAAGCACCAGAATAAATTTAATTCTTAGATCATTTATTTCTACTAGGGAATTTTCTGTCTAGAAGGGACTCTAGAAGCCATGTGTATCTGCAGCCTTAAAAAATAAGGAAAGCAGAGCCTAGAGAAACTGGCTTGTCAAAGTTTACCCTAGAGGTGCAACCCAGGTGCCCTGGTTCTGCAGACATTTATGTGGTAAGGCTAGGAAGTTTCTGGTTTTTGATGGTAGATTTGTTTGACAAATGACCCAGTGTCTCCCCGAAGTAAATTGAACCTTGTGAGCATGGGAGGCCTGAGGGAAGATGCACCTCTGTCCTTTGGTGGCTGAAGGATTAAATGATCATGTTGCAACTTGTTCTTTGGGAAATTCTTTGGGGAATTAATTATTGCTATGATTATATGTTGTGTGACTTTTCCTGTAGTGGTTTGGCCTATTTATTTTATGCTGATATAATTTTAAACTGAGGCAGAATGTACAATGTCTTGACACCTGAAGCATACAGACAAAATCTGTATTGGATCAAATTCTTTCAGTTTTATCTGCCAATCTCCAAAACAACGATGATGAGATTGTTTTTTATTTTTAAATACTATGATATTTGTGTTTCCTTTACACTTACAATCCAACAAGAGTGGTGCTTGTTGGACTAATGCATAGCTTTGTGGGACATGTGCATCACCTTTCAGAAACACAAATGAGAGGTGTGTGGTCCTGCTACTTTCCCTTGGGAACAGGAGGGAGCTGCAAGAAGGGAACCCTTTAGGGAGAGGTTCATCAACAACACAAAGGAGCCTAGCTCAATCCATCCATTGAGCATTCTGGGAGGCCTTGTGCCCAGGCAAGATAGCATGTTAACTTCACAGTGATTTGTTCCATTTTCTTTTGGGAAAAGCTTTCAGATAAAATTACAAGATACTTGGTGGGAGGTGGGTGGCTGTCGCAGACTCTGGGCAGTCATGTGCTGCCAACTCACACATGTGTGCCATAGCCTCTCCATCTGTGACTGCATTTGCTCCCAAATTCTTAGCCTCAAGCCAAGTAGGTAGGACTGTAAGAGGAGCACTGAGGGTAGTTTAGTGATCTACTTAGCTTCTCATGCAGCGTACGAGTATGGGTCTAGGTCACACTTAATCAGATATTGAGAAAGTGATCCTTGAGTCTTTGCAAAGCAGTGAAAGTCTCAAAGCAAAGTGTACCTGGACAAAGATGACTGTGTTCTATGCCTACCTGCTCTTTTCTAGAAACAATAGTTGTATGAAAGGAGTAAACGCAGCCCCCAAATCTCTCAGCACTTGTAAACTATAACCACAAGGGCATATATTTCTTGTCCCTTGCTTGACCTCCCTTTGCTCCCTTCACCAGGAAGGTGCTGATAGTAGATGGCAGCTGGGGAGAGAGGGGAGAGGGAGGGGGAGCGCTGGAGAGAGAGAACTCATGCCTGATGGATCCCATTAGGCTTAGTGTGCAAAGCAAGTTGAGATGAAGTAGCTGCTCTGGTATGCGTCCAAAACTGCTGCTCTATTTTTAGTCCCTCCCCCGAGCTGCTTAGCCTCACTCTGTACGCCTGGGCACCTGGATCAGCAGCAAAACATGGAACTGAGCCACTCATTTGTAAAACTGGAAGGAAGGCCATTGATGCAGGGCTTGTTTATCACTGACAGGGAAGGGGGACCTGGAATGTTAATGAGGACAGCTCTCTGAAGCAAGTCTTCATGGTTAGCCCGGAGTTCAA